AAAGAGATTGTAAATGAGTGCACTTAGGACAAGGCAATGAGTTATATTTCTTGTTCTGTTGTTTTTTTCTCCTAAGATCTTTTTAACTTCCCTACTTTAAGTGTACAGTTGACACAGCCAGTACTTCCAGCCTCATAATTGTTTGCCCATTGCTCTGTCCCCTGTTTTTGCACAGCATTTTGACTAAATAAAACCCAAAACTGTTGCAGATGTGGGACAGAGGATTCACTCCTCTCCCAGTGCAGAGGCAAAGGGAATTAATATATTTCCTTTTGTCCTTCCACTGTTAGTAACTCTCAGAAGATCATAATTGCTTCCCCACACTCCCACATTAGCAAACTTTACCTAAGGGTTTCACCAGATGATCCCCTTCTTTTCCACAGGTTCACCAGGCTGCTTGAGCGGCTTGCAGCTGAAGATGACTTTCCATCCCCTACATGCATACGGACCACGGTCGATGTGGTGAACGCGCTGCGTACGTTCCTTTCAGGCTTAGCAAGGATGATATAGACCTTGGGTACAAACATACAGCCGAGGGCCACCGTGGCACTCAGACTCACTGAGAAACACATGGTGATTATCTTGTAGTTGCTTCCAAAATATATTGGCACAAAAGCCAGCCAAATGATGCAGGTGGTATACATTGTAAAGGCAATATACTTTGCTTCATTGAAATTAGCTGGGACATTTCTTGTCTTAAATGCATAAAAGGTGCAACTCAATATTAATAATCCATTATATCCAAGGGGAGTTACAACACCCAAGTTAGTGGTGTTACAAATCAGGTAGACCTCTCGGATGCTTGGGTAATCATGCATTATATCTGGTGGCTCCATTATAAAGAGGGCAACGATTATGCCTAATTGTATACATATCAAGATAAATGCAATAACCAGTTGGGCGCAGGCACTCATGAACCTAGGTTTCTTTGTACAAATTTTCTTCTTGCTGCCAGCCAGGATTCTTGCAATGCGGTTGGTTTTAGTTACTAGAGCAGAATAACTCATAGCTGGGGAGAGGCCGATGCCAATTCGTTGAAGATAACAGTAAATCTGTTGAGGTTTTGCGATGAGACAGAAAGTGCACAAGTAACCCAAGCAGATGCCGGCTAGAATGATGTAGCAGAGTTCTCGGCTGGATGATTTGACCACTGGAGTATCACGGTACATTATGAATATAGCTGTAACAAACAAGGTGGCCAGCAGACCCAGACATGCAAAAACAACTGCTGCAATTGGTTCAGGATCACCCCATCTGAGATACTGGACTGGGATGAGGTCACAACCTAGAGAAAAAGAAAAAAAGAAGGTAAACTGAAGTACGTAGGAGTGAGATTCTTCAATGGTATAGTTACAGGTTCTCCTGATAGTTCTTTTCTTTTTGTCTTTCAGGAAGGTGCCATTATAACGAGTGTAGGCTAAGATTATGCTAAATAATGGCACAATAAATACTTTTCAGTGACAGTCTATTTCAGTAATACAGTTTATATGGAGTATAACACAATGACTGAAAAAATGGCCAAGATGATTAAGATAAGTCACCTCTCATCACTGTGGAATTTTCCACTTACGTTCTTTTAAATATAGTACTTTATGAACAAATTTCAGAATCAAGTTGCAATACCTTGGTGCAAAATGCTTGTTTGCATACAATAGGCACTTAAAGGAACACATGTCAATCCTACTAATTATGTTGTACACTATGAAGGAGATTAGTACCTGTTTAATAATTATCGAGACAAATCTTAGAGATTCTAGTTGTCAGGAAAAGAGAGTGCTTCTTTCATAGATGTGCTACCTTTTTTCTAACAAAATTGTTCTGGGATCAGAGTTGCAGATGACAAGTAATCTGGGATGGCACACCCTGCTCACTTCTTGATCTGTCGTTCAGCCTTTTAAGACTTCTGAGGAATTAAAGCCTCATCTAACTTGTGAAATCAAACTGAAATCAGTAAATTCGCATCACAGCCAAATTAGAACAGTTCAATCCCATCTAAGGACACTTGTTTTTCAGTTTATGTATGGGTTTTAATAAGTCAATCTATGTACGTATGCCATAGAAAGGCAAAGAAGCTTCTCGTTCCACTGTGTGCAGATCAATGCACAGGGGCAAAAGTTGGCAAAAAGCTTGTTGTTGGTGTTCCTTCTCCATCCCTCCTTTCCTTTTGCATTGTGAAGCCTGGATAGCTCTGGAAGCCAAAAGGAACAAGAGGGGAGGACCCTGATGCTCTGGAGTGCAACTTCCTGACAATAGTAGACACGCTGGCACTGCTGGCCAGGGCAGGACCACTGGAAGGAGGTGACGGAGAGGAGGAAATGCAATTAAAAGCTTTTATTTCCTATGTACTTGTATTAAGCTTGATTGCAAAATCTAAATGACCTCAACATTTAGTATTGTTGTAATCAGACTGCTGTCTTCTGGCAGGGCAGGTAGAAGGGTGTCAGGCTGCCTCAGGGTGGGTGGTAGCGAGGCGCTCCACCCCGCGGGGATGGAGCGCTGGGTGCTCATGCCTGTATTTTCAGCAGTGAGGGTAATCAGCACTGGGCACCTGGATGCCAAGCAATCCAAATTAATCAGGAAACCTGGGACCTCAATGACTTGATGAATGGGAGTAATTGTACCCATCAGGGCTATAATTTGGGGATTTCTACACGCAAGATTTACTCTTTGCCTTTTCCATTGTTTTTGGTGGAGCTTAAAGTTTTGCCAAAGCTGTCACTGACATTCTTAGTAGTAAAAATCATTCCATGAATGGTATTGATAGATATTGGGCTCAGCAGTATTTCTCACAGTATTTCTGTATTCTATATCTCTAGACAATTAATGTTATTAAAAAAATAATACCTACAATATGGTGGTATACTCAATAGATTGTGTGGTAAAATTACCAGGCAGATAGTTCTGTATTCTTGCAGAAAAATCAGAAGGATTAAGGTGAATAAATCTTTGACATTGGTGCAGTTAAAGGGTAGAAATTTGTGGTCCCTTGCATTTTCCTCTCAGTGGCCAGTCTGGCCCAAACCCACGACACTCCAGTGTAACAGGATTGTGCTCTTGATTGCTAAATGCAGATTAATTTGCCATCTGTATTTTAACTGCTTTGATGTGCAAAGCTTTCTGTTGCAATAATAAATTTAATATCATGTCTTAATGTAACAAAGACATTTAGATTTTTATGAAACACTCTCATTAGCATTAGTTGATGATATCTATTTGACTCCTGTTGGTTTTAAAGGGTTTCCTTACTTAGTGTGAGGGACACAAGGTATTTCATTCTGACTCCATCAAGATTAATGTAGCACAGGAATCATATCATTAAAATCAACACTTAATACCAGTAAGAGTGGTGGAACAAGAATGAAAACCAGAAAACATTCTGGTGTGTGCAGATATCCCCATGTGGGTTCTTCCCCAAGAAATGGCATGAGTAACTGACCTCTAAATCTATTTCTGATTTTACCAAAATTTAATTAATGTTTTGGGGAAACAAGTTGTTACCAGCTTTTAATACTACTATATATTTTTTGGAGAGGAAAATTTGAAAGAAAAGGTCCCTATCTGACAGCTGGCCTTTACATGCAGACAATGATATAGGGGCTGAATTTTGCACAGTTTCTAATGCAGCAGAGGTGAATCATAACCAAGCATTTCTCATTAGTTTCAGACTATTTCATGCCTTCCTTGCTTTATTACTCTTTTTACATTCTTTTAATAAAATATCTGAGAAAAGAGTTGAGAACTTGTCCCATTTTTCCCCCCCCATCACTGGGTATACTTTACAAGGAGAATGCTAAACTGTGCAATGATTTATTGCTCAATTAAGATTTAAGGACTGGATAGTCTTCATAAAGCAATGATTGCTGAGGTTTTCACATAATAGCTTTGCAGCTAATGGTTTCTGACAATGGCACTTTGCAGAAAGGGACAACTAGATTAAGTAAAAGAAATATGGGAAAACTGCACTGTGAGTGTTCAGGTTAGGTTGATGGCCAGGATTACACCAAGACAAAAGCTGAAAAATGGTAACACAAGAAGAACTCATTCCTATCCCCTTAATATGTGGAAGTTCAATGGCCGTTTGGACAAAGTCCTGCCCCACAGCCCACCTCTTACACTTCATCATCATCTCCAATCACCTGGACAGTCTTCTTTCCTAGCTGGCTCACAAACTCCAGGCGGAACAGAGCCAGCAGCCTTGTCTTATGGTCCCTGCAGTGTGCTGAGGCAATCTTTGGCTTAGTGGAAAGGCTGTTAGGAGCCAGTCCAATTTGGAGCAGGTAGAGAGTTGTTCTACTCTGTGCTCAAGAGTGCACTGCTTCTGGGACCAGAGCCCCGGTAAAATTGACATAAAACTGCCTCTCTGTTCTTCTGGCCAGAAACATAGCCAGTGGGAGTGAGGCACTTGATACACATGTGAATAGCAAAACAAGCTGATATAAAAAATCAGAGTCCCGTTTGACTTGCTGGGGAAAGGATTCCTGAAAGTAGCATCAGAAGTCACTGACAAATTACAGATAAGGCATTATAAGGATTTTCTGGGGGGAAAAAAAAAATAAATCTAATATTTTGGAAAAACATCTGGCCATGTCAGGGATGGGCTATGTTGTGCTATAAACGAGGAGAGGAGAGCTCTTGAAGGCCTGACCGCTGCCATAAGTCTATTAGTACCCTGCACTTTCTTTGTAGAGCTAAACTTGTCACTTATTTCTGATCTTTCATGTTGCTTTAAAATAAGTTCATCTGGGAAAAGAGTTCACAGGTATGAAGCACTTTTTATTATAGTCCATATTTTCTGGGGATTTGATCATGATACTGTTTTAATTTGTTATGATAGCCTTGATGCCTAAGAGGCCTTACTATGCCTTCAGCATCCATAAAACTGTATTAACACTGAAAATCCCTTTCATGGTAGGCAATATAAAATATGTAATTAAACTAGTTCCAAAGGTAAACATGACAGTCTAATGCTTGTGAAGAGGATGCACTCTGGAAAGCGAAGGGAATTCAGTGGAGTCTGTTAAGTCAACATCATGAACTAAAGCTCAGTGAATCTGCACATGGAGACTAAAACTGGCAGAAAATTACTGCTGGTTTAGTAAGTCCGAAGTATTTTCCAGTGGGGTGTGGCATCCTGGGCAGTGAGTTAAACCCCTAGACAAAAGACTTGGTTTTCTTGGTAACTTTTCACAGACCCTTCAAAGGGTAGGAGTCCAAACACCAAGACTGAAACCTAAACAACAACCTAGCCACATCTTAGTTGTGAAGGAGAGTCTCCCCATAAGATTTAGTGCACGGTATTCAAAGTGCATTGATGCGATGCTGTTAGATATTTTATATTAATGCTTCTGAATGTTTCTTTATTTACAAACTCAGAAGATGGGAGAAGGGATATCTTGACTAGTTATTTGGGTTTTCACATATGGAGAGCTGAGAAGCAAAAATGTAGGAGTCAGAATAAAAATCTACGTGAAGTGGACAGGGTAGCTTTTATAATAACAATTTTTTAAATTATTTTTTATAAAACCCCAAATTGTTGTTCATACTGACAAGTCAAATGTGAGGATTCTACTCTCCAAAGTCCTTGTTGAGAAAGCAGCCCCGTGACCTCCACACGGAATATGGACTGACTGAAGTGAGAGAGGACATCTTTAAAATTTCCATGTTAAGTTCTTGTAGCTATGGTAAATTATTATGGTCACCACTTCTTTGTCCTGTTCTGATGGGACCTTTCACAGTTACTACAATAGCAGAGGTGACCATTTGTTGGGTTCTTAGCTGCTGCAGCTCCCAGGCTGGCACATTTACTGAAACCATCGGCGAAGGTGGGTTTGGATAGTCAATGGATGCGGCTGAGGACTGTGTATGTATTCAGTCTGCCATCTCTGTGGGGCAGGAGTTGGGATCGGTCACATCTTAACCTGCAAAACCTGGGGCATCTGTAGCTCAGGAACCTAAGTCCCTAGTGACTCAAATATACTGTGCGTTGCAGTAAAAGGCAAGGTGATGAACTTTAGAGTAATATATTAAAGTTACTCTGTGATCACACGGGGAATGATTCCTTAATTACACAAATGTGCAGAATGACTGGAACAACTGATGAATTGCAGCAATCGGGTCCATCCTTATGTTATCTCAAATGTTAATTTAAGTTTCACCAAAAAGTGCTGGCTTCGCATGTTGTAAATGTTTTGTTCAGAATATGTCCTGTCCAGCAATCTTTCCATAATGTAAGGCACAATTACAAGTGGATCCTTCTGGCTCTGTTGGCAAGTCCCTCTTCATCCA